CCAGGCTTTGCCCCCCCCCCCCCTCCCTAGAAAATTTTATGGCCCTTGCGCGGTCCCCTCACCTGATGTATCCTAGAAACGCCACTGTACGTCCTATCCCATGTCTGCCAAGAATGGAAAATGGATATGTTTTATACAGACTTGGGATAGAACGCTTTAAAAGCCTTTTGGCTGTATTCACTACAATCCAATCCAAACTGTATTTGAAACATTTGCCTCCATTTCAGCCCCTGGTGGATATTTTGAAAGTCGTCGCTGGTGTAGAGTCGATAACTGTCAAAATATCTATCATAGGCTGGAGTAGAGGCAGATGTATCGGACTATCCAAAAACTAGACTTTCTTTCAAGTCAGCCTAAATATTCCTCATCGTTTTTATTACCCCCTTAATTAAAACAATTTATAATTAATAATATTACATTAAAATATAATTCATTAATAAAATAATCAGAGACTGTAATATCAATTTAAATTTTCACCACCTTCTCACCAAACAAATCAACTCGATTCTGAAAAAAACAAGAAAAAAAACAATATAAGTCAGAATGGGACTATATATATGTATATCAAAAACTATTGTGTCCAACTGACCAACGGATTGCTTGGTATAATGACAGTTTTCTGTGGTCAGAATCGGACGACTAGTGCATTCCAAACTATCATATCTAACTTGCTAGCAGATTGCTTGGTACAATGAAAGTGTTCTGTAGTCAGACTGGGATAGGACCATACCAAACTATCGTGTCTAACTAGCTAGCAGATTGTTTGGTACAATGACGGTTTTCTGTGCCCAGAATGGGACTAGAGCATACCAAACTATCGTGTCCAACTAGCTAGCAGATTGCTTGGTACAATGACAGTTTTCTGTGGTTAGAACACCACTATAGAGCATACCAAACTATCGTGTCTAACTAGCCAGCAGATTGGCTTGGTACAATGACAGTTTTCAATGTTCAGAATGGGACTAGAGTATACCAAACTATCGTGTCTAACTAGCTAGCAGATTGATTGATACAATGACAGTTTTCAATGTTCAGAATGTGACTAGAGCATTCCAAACTAACTAGCTAGCAGATTGCTTGGTACATTGAAAGTGTTCTGTAGTCAGACTGGGATAGGACCATACCAAACTATCATATCTAACTAGCTAGCAGATTGTTTGGTACAATGACAGTTTTCAATGTTCAGAATGTGACTAGAGCATTCCAAACTAACTAGCTAGCAGATTGCTTGGTACATTGAAAGTGTTCTGTAGTCAGACTGGGATAGGACCATACCAAACTATCGTGTCTAACTAGCTAGCAGATTGTTTGGTACAATGACGGTTTTCTGTAGTCAGAATGAGACCAGAGCATACCAAACTGTCGTGTCCAACTAGCTAGCAGATTGCTTGGTACAATGATAGTTGTCTGTGGTCAGAATGTGACTAGAGCATACCAAACTATCATGTCTAACTAGAAACAGATTGCTTGGTAAAATGATAATTGTCTGTAGTCAGAATGAGACTAGAGTATACCAAACTATCGTGTCTAACTAGCTAGCAGATTGCTTGGTACAATAATAGTTTTCTGTGATCAGAATGAGACAAGAGCATACCAAACTATCGTGTCTAACTAGCTAGCAGATTGCTTGGTACAATGATAGTTTTCTGTGATCAGAATGAGACAAGAGCATACCAAACTATCGTGTTCAAGCAGATTAATCTATTCAAAAATATAACAATTTCGTTTTCCTTTTTTGATATTTTTGGTCTCCCTTTGATCTCTGAACACGATCAAACACAAATTTTGAATGAAAATGGAGACAAATCAGACGCTTACCTTTCGTGTCGCAGACGTCGCTGGCAATGTCCGCCAAAATATTACCCAACATGGAAAAATCAGAAATGTTCAAAACTTGACTTGGTTTGGAGGCGATGGCATCTAGTTCATCCGTGTGAATAAGATGTCCAATTCCAACTGCGAACATATTTACTTTATATATCTCTTTAGCGTTGGTCGCAGCCGTTACCGTACTCTGATAATTGTTAGATGCACCGTCCGTTATTACTATTCCGACTACTGGTACGTTCGGGCGACCTTTTGAATCCACCATAATACTCAGTTGAGAAATTCCTGCTGCAGTGTTGGTGGTTCCGCGTGGGTGATCCAAACTCTGGATGGTGGAGGTGACCATGGCGGAATTTCCGCTTAGATTGATCACGTGTTCTATATTTGTGCTATACAGAATAAAACCTAGCCGTGTTTTATCTTCACTGACGGACAAGTTATTAACCAGGGAAACAACAGACGCTTTCAAAACGTCAAATTCCTCGTCTGTCAAGCTTACAGATCCATCTGCGACTACAATTACTTCCAGCTCCGATTGACACTTAGCTGGAGATGTTGTCATATCGCCAGAGACGGTTGATGTCACACTTGGCAAGGGCGTATTCGGAGAGCTTTCTATTGGCGTTTGTGATGTAAAGGTAGCAGTTGATGTCTGTTCTATATCCGTAGTCGTTTCTTGAGTTGCAGATGGTCCAGGAGTTGTCGGTTCTGGAGTTGTAGTCGGTTCAGGAGTGGTTGTCGGTTCTGGAGTTGTAGTCGGTTCTGTGGTTGTAGTCGGTTCAGGAGTGGTTGTCGGTTGGTTCTGGGGTTGTAGTCGGTTCTGGAGTTGTTGTCGGTTCAGGAGTTGTAGTCGGTTCTGGAGTGGTAGTCGGTTCTGGGGTTGTAGTCGGTTCTGGGGTTGTAGTCGGTTCAGTAGTTGTAGTCGGTTCTGCAGCGGTTGTCAGTTCTGGAGTGGTAGTCGGTTCTGGGGTTGTAGTCGGTTCTGGGGTTGTAGTCGGTTCAGTAGTTGTAGTCGGTTCTGCAGCGGTTGTCAGTTCTGGAGTAGTAGTCGGTTCAGAAGTGGTTGTCGGTTCCGGAGTTGTTGTCGGTTCTTGAGTTGTTGTCGGTTCTGGAGTTGTGGTTGGTTCTGGAGTTGTTGTCGGTTCTGCAGTGGTAGTCGGGTCTGGGGTGGTAGTCGGTTCCGGAGTTGTAGTCGGTTCTGGAGTGGTTGTCGGTTCTGAAGTAGTAGTCGGTTCCGGAGTTGTAGTCTGCTCCGGGGTTGTAGTCGGTTCCGGAGTTGTAGTCGGATGAGGTGAGGTTGCAACTGTTGTAGCTAAAGAGAAGACATCCAAAGGTATATTAATAGCTTATGTTCTGAAACAATTTGTAAAAAGGTCTTCCACCCGTGCCAGTACTTATAGTGTCATTCCCTCCCCGCCTCGAATTTCTTATTTTGTCATCGTAAATGCCTGTCGCTGTGAACCCGTTGACAATTTGACCCATATTCGGTTCCCTCAACTTTAATTAATCGGACCCAAAAGTCTCAAAATGTCCTCGGACATTGTTGTCCACTAGCAGAGTCGTCGGTATATTAGTCTGTATTAACTCTACCAAATATACTTACTGATGCAGACGTCGTTTGCAATATCTTTCAGGATTCCCGCCAAAGTTGAAAAATCAGCAATGTTCAAAACCTGGTCGCTCTTTGATGCGATTTGTTCCAGTTCTGGAAGGTAGATACTACTTCCGACTCCGACTGCGAACATATCCACATTATATATCTGTTTAGCATTGTTCGCAGCCGTAACCGTAGATTGGTAGTCGTTGGATTTACCATCTGTGATGACGATGCCGACTACTGGAACGTTTTCGCGACCATGGTTGGCCACCATTATACTGAGTTGTGATATTCCGGCCGCCGTATTGGTTGTACCTCGCGGATGTGTCACACCGTTAATGCCGTGGACAATGGGAGCTTCTTCGCCAATTAAATTTATGATTTTTTCTACCTTGCTGCTGTACAGAACAAAACCAAATCTGGTTCCTTCATTGGAAACCTTCAGATCACGTACAAGGGAGATAACTCCACTTTTCAGCAAGTCAAATTCGGGATCTGAGATGCTGACTGAACCATCAGCGACCACAATCACTTCCAACTCGCCATGACATTCTGGAACGAAAAACCTCACTGTGGTTACCTGTAACAGTGTTACTTAAGGGGTGTGGGAAACTCGGAGAGACCTTGCGACTGGCAGAGGCTGAAAGCAACTTGATTTTCACCGACTTTTAAGCCGCTGGTAGCTTTTGGGAGAATGTTATCTTGGTCGACCTGTCACAGTTATCTTGTCCTCTTCCTGAAAGAGATGGATGATGGATGTTTTCGTTTAGGTTGGGTGTAGACCACCATTTGCTAATTTGTGACTAATATTATTCCTGGAATATTTAATTTCAATTGGCCTCATTTCCTCTACTTTGAAACTGATTATCTTGATATTGGCGGGTGTCGTGCGGGTGTCTGGAACACCTGATACTACCTCTCTCTCCGCTTTTATTTAGTTTGATTTCCGGGATGTGGTTAGCCGATTGTTTTTTCAACCGATTTTGTCCATGGATTTTCTGAATGGCTTTGGTATTCTTTCGCTCGGCTTTATACATCCGATTAGATATAATGGAAGCTTCAATAAGAGGACACGTTTTCTGCATCAAGATGGATGAACGTGCTATGCACTAGGGGAAACTAGCACAAGGGGTCTCTGGTTTATTTTCCAATATAGTAGGGAAATCGTTTGATTTAAAAGGACAGGTTCTCCATCTCCAAAGTAAATATCGAAGCATACCTGGTGAGTTGAGTGGAGCTGTTGAAGATGTTGAGACGTACAGAGCCAGAAAAACTAATATATTTAATACTTTCATAATGATCGACTGTAACTATTCCACTGTATATTGGCTACCTGAAACTAATTTGAGTCTACATGGAAAATTGAAAGAGAGTTTTTAATTTCTGGTAAATTATGTGAACTGTGCAAGGATCTTTAGTACTTTCAGGAATTTACTTTTTTCCACTGGACGCATTTTAAGTGACCATCAAAAGTGAGAGAAATAAAACCCAAGAAAAGGCTTACCTGTTACAAGATATTTCAATCCACAACAATTCCAAAACTTTGTACTTCAGACAGGGTAGAAATTGTAAGGGGTATTAAAGTAAAGGACAGTTTTGAGGGGGTCATAATTTAAAATAGGGTCCTTTTAGGGTTCAGAGTAAACAGATTGGGATATCGTTGTCACTTCTTGTCCCTCTATTATTCATCATAAACATTAAAGATCCACAGCCTTGTTCATGGGTACAAAAAAAACTATTCCAGTATTCAAAAATCTCGTCCGACAGAATCTGGATCAATAATTGTATGGTAGTGGACTCCTCAAACGAGAGGTACCATCAGGTGTTTGAGTATAATAACTAATCGTCACCAAAATTAGCACAACAAGCTTTTGGTTACAGGTCCTTGGCTAACCAAAGGTGTCCGAAGATGGGAAGAGGTCTTAATAATTGACTCCAAAGGTCAATCAGACTTCCTTACCAGCAACAATGCCAGAGTTCACGACATATGACGTCATCTGACGTATTAATGTTTGGCAACCAATCAGAATTATATAATGGGCTCATGTGATATAATTATATTTATCTCTGGAGCGCATGCGTCCCGAATAGAATCAAGCGGTAATTACAACTTCCTAGTAGGAAACAAATACATGCGCATAATTCTTCTTTAATTCATGTTCAGTCAAATTAACTAAATGGCGACATAATTTACACTAACCAATCAAAAAGACTGTTAAAAGTTGATTGACAACCACTATTTAGGTATGAATTCCTAACATATATAGTTGTAAATCTTTAATAAAAAATATCTAGAAAACTTCTCTTAAAATTACATGGACGATCAGTTCTAGCAAGCACAACAACAAATGCAACATCTAAAGTTTTTCGTTCCATGATTTATCAAACTTTTGTTTTGTGATTCATGCAGTGTATTCGTCGAACTTTGGTTTGGTGATTCATGTGGTCTATTTGTCGAACTTTGGTCTTGTGTTTCTTGTTCTGTTCTGTTTCTTGCCTGAAGGGATTCCTGTGGTCTGTTTGCCGAACTTTGGTCTTGGGTTTCTTATTCTGTTCTGTTTCTTGCCTGAAGGGATTCCTGTGGTCTGTTTGCCGAACTTTGATCTTGGGTTTCTTATTCTGTTCTGTTTCTTGCCTCAAGGGATTCCTGTGGTCTGTTTGCCGAACTTTGATCTTGTGTTTCTTATTCTGTTCTGTTTCTTGCCTGAAGGGATTCCTGTGGTCTGTTTGCCGAACTTTGGTTTTGGGTTTCTTATTCTGTTCTGTTTCTTGCCTCAAGGGATTCCTGTGGTCTGTTTGCCGAACTTTGATCTTGTGTTTCTTGTTCTGTTATGTTTCTTGTCTGACGCGATTTCTGCAGTCTCTTTGACAAATCACTATAACCCGCGGATTTTAAACTGTCAATAAATTTATCTAAACCATCAAGTCCACTATGGTGTATTTTATCAAGAAGTTTATCAGCCCCAAAACGACGCCCCCGTTTCTCCTCTTGTTTAATTTCATCTTCATCATCATAATCTATTACACCTTTTTGAAGTAGATAGCTCATGATATGGTTGGGTTTCAAACTTCTGAGCAACTCCTCTCGATTCTCTGTTAAAACAGCCTCATCTTCTTCAGGTATTCGTCCTCTGCCCATCTTTTATTTAGGATCCAAACTTAATTTTTAGTCGGTAGGGAACTAGATAAATAAAAAAAAACAACTATATAGATACGGAATCTACAATATGAAAAGAATATACAGCAAAATAAAAGAGAGGAATTGGCTATATAGACGGAATGGTTTATAAAAATGGAATAGTAAAACGATGGAATCAGTTAGCATGACGAGTCTAGCCTTCCGAGACTGGCGGTACAAATAGGGGGTTTCTGAATTAAAAATGCGGCATCATAGTCGCAAGCCTGTCATAGAGTGTCTGGGGTTCTCTATGGTGGCTCATAGCTGACAAACCCAATTTAGACATAATCAGTCTCAAATTTTCAAAAAATAGACTTTTTATTGCAAGACAGAAATTAATTTCAATTAAAAAAATATATTGAAATAAAAAAAATGATAAAATTATATTTTAAAAAAAATAAAAAAATTTCAAAGTAAAATGAAAACAAAACTTAGACTGGCCCATCGCTGTTAAATTTAGGTTATCCCCCCTTTGTATCACTCTTCTTTATAGAAGGGTTGGAAAGTCTTTTTATTATAATAATAAACTATTTATTTGGCTAACAGTTGGGCATAAACACTTTTTACAATTGAGTCTAAAGATTAACTGAACAATTCTAACATAACACTATAAAAGTTTATACACAATATAGGCCCTAAAATAAACCCTTTTTTTAAATATAATTTCATCTTTTATTTTCATTTGAAATTATTTTTAAATTATTATGAATTCATTTACTTATTAGGTCTTTATTTTTTTAACTTGAAATTAATCTCAATCTTGAACGAAATTGAAAAATGATTTTTTTTTTATAATTTACGACTTATAATGCCATATTTGGGTATGTCAGCCCTGGGCCACCGTAGTTCTCAAATTTTCAAAAAATGAACTGATTTGATGCATTCTGATGTATAATTTGGTTCAAAAACGTAAAAAAAATATCATATTTTTCAATTTGTTAAAATAATGTGGGGGTAGGCTACATTATTGAGGGGTGCAAACCATTTTACTAGAGGGCAAATGCCCCCTACCCCTTCCTGTACCCCTACTGACTCCGCTACCGGATTGAATAGTAAAAAAGTGTATAGATTATCGATTGAGCACAACCTGGAAGAAAATGTGACAATTGTTCTATTTTACAATACAAGATTGTTGTTTTTGCGTGGAAAAATTGTTCTGGAATCACAGAAACCAGATATCAGACGGAAAATAAGTCTATTTCAATAAGAAGCTATACAACTATTCCTGATAGACCCATAAGGCTAGAAAACCTCGTCTGTAGTCATTTTAGTACATGCCAAAATACACTCAATATTAGGTTTTTCCTAGGGCATAAGCCCATATGAATCACAGCATTTCTTAAAACGATGTTTTGATCAAATAATTTACGTATTACGCCTTTTTTCTTCCCAGTTGAAAGTTATTTCTTACCTTATAAAATAAATATTTTGTCAAACCTTTCTCGAAATAAAAAAGGGGATCTAAAATGGCGGAACGGGGAAGTATTTTCATATTCGATATATTAATAGGTA